CCCCCCCAGCACCTGTGATGCCCACAGTTTGTGATCATATATTGACTGCGTCAGGAAAGGGCATTTTTTGGTTGCGTTAGTACAAAGTAACTCCTTAGGTTTTTCATGCATGCAGGAAGGATTGTGAAATGACAGCTTAGGTGGGAGCAAGAATTTGCTTGGGTCCCAGAAGGTCTGTCTGAACCTAATTGAAGTCTCGCCCTACGGTGCATTTTAAAGACGTTAAGAGAAACAAAGGTGTGTGCAATGTCACTGGGTAAGAGAAAAAAAGCAACATGACCCAGTCAGGTGTCTACAGTAATGTTATGTTTGATCTCAGAATTCCAATAAATACTTTATTTTGCGTATGTATGTTTGGGAGGGAAATCAGTAGTCATTTGTACACAAACTAACTAAAAGAAAAATGTATTCTCGTGGCATTTGCTGGGCTATGTTTGTGTGCCCCGTCGATCAATAGCTTGTGCATTTGAGCACAAACTCAAATCCCGCGGTCTGCATCATCAGAGATAATCCTCGTGGAACTGGCCGTGATTTTCCATGTACTGATTCCCAGACTGCTTTACGCAGGTGGTTTGGACTAGAATATCGGCAAATCACCTGCCATGAGGAGGACACCTTTAAATATGGCTAGCGGTTTGGGGGGATTGAATGCTCTTTTCTTAATAGCACCGCAGTTTATTCTTTCATACAAGACTTTGTGTCCAGGTCATATTGATAAGAGTAGAAATTATTAAAGCCAATACCAGGCCTACCTTGATTTCTTTTTTTTTTTCTTTCTCCTTGTCATTAGTTTCTTGTGAAAGATGCCTAGGTGCCCTCTAACAAGTTCCCACTATTTAACACTGGGAATGAGAAATTGCCCCGATTACTGTTACAAATGCCCAGGAGTTGCCTCCTGTGGGGAAATGGTATTGTGCATGGTGTCTAGTGACTGTTATTCCACTTACTTATCAATTATACCAATTCTAGGGTCAGATATGTCACTTTAGCCACGTGCTCAGCCAAGCCAAGGGGACTAGACGCAGTGGTTTGACCTAAGCAGGGCGGGAAGAAGCCCATTGGGATCAGCCTCTCCTGCTGATTTTCTTAGAGTTTGTGGAAGACACACTTCCTATTAGTGCACAGACACTCGAGGGGGAAAATTGTAACAACTTTTCCTCCAATCAAAGAGAATTTTATGAACATAGAGAAGTCAAGCCCTGGCCGATGTGGCTCAGTTGGTTGGGCGTCATCCTGTGCACCAAAAGATGGCTGGTTCGATTCCCAGTCACAACACTTCCCTGGGTTGCTCAATACTGAAGGGGATGTACACAGGAGGCAGCCAGTCAATGTTGCACTCTCATATCGATGTTTCTCTCTTCTCCCTTCCTTTCTCTCTAAAAATCAGTAAACCATTCTTTTAAAATAAAAAAGTTAACTTTAGATTCATGTGCATGTAACAGGGATGCCTAAATGGAAGTCACATGCAGTTCTTTAAAACTTCACCCACAGCGCTATCAACAGAAAAGCCACCATGTGGTCCTTGTTGATAAAATTAAAAGAAAGATCATAAATATGAAATAAAATACATTTTATGTACAAACTGAAGAAAAGTGGTTATGAGTGTGTTGTAGTTGGAACACTAAGTGAATCACATGTTTCAAGTAATTGAGGCTCCTTGTCACCGTCAGAGGTGAAGTCTCGCTCTTTATCTTGGTCAGGCCAGCAGTCCTCGGTATAAAAGCCCTATGTGTGCAGGAGCCTGATAGAGTCGCTTAAACATATGGAAGACAGATGGAGGGAAATGAGAAAGGGCTGCAATAAAAGTATGCAGCAACGATTTTATGTTCTTGAGCGCCCCTTTTAGGGAGATGGAGCCATATGGGGCCGGGTGGAGCCATACGGTGGGCTTCCACATGTCCCCAATGGCAATGAGGAGGAAAGGGGCACCTGGGAGGAAATAAATGGTCCTGGTGGCTGGGGTGAGCCTGTCCAGGATTCTGACATTCCCGTACCCACCAGAGGTTGGGAGAGATAACCAAGCGTGAGATGCGAGTTATTTCCCATCTCTTCTCCACAAGAGTCACTTCATTGTGAAAATATAGGTGCCAGGCAAGTAGAAGAAACCTTCGATATCACAAAGGACAAGTTGAAGTGATTTTAATTGATGTTGACACACAAGTGGGGAAGTCTATTCAATTAAATGGAAAAGAAAGGAGAATGTGAGGGTTATTGGGATAACCTGTTTCTGTTGTACCTGAGTTCATAGGGTATTCCACCACCAAATCAGACTGAGTCTTACAGCAAAAGTAGTATCAGAGATGCTTAAAAGCCATCTCCTCATGATTTCCCCTAAATGATTAGGTCGACACAACACTTGTTTACCATGTGGCTTTCCGTAATCCCCTGTGAGCATACCTTTCCTCCCTGGTAGTACCAGGCACAGGGAGTCATCCTGAGAATGTCTGTGGAATCAATGAATGAATGATTCTTCATTGTTTATATATACATATATATATATTTAAATATATCTTTATTGATTTAAGACAGAGGAAGGGAAAGAGAGAGATAGAAACATCAGTGATGAGAAAGTCGTCACTGACCGGCTGCCTCCTGCACGCCCCCGACTGGGGATCGATCCTGCAACCTGGGCATGTGCCCTGACCAGGAATCGAACCGCAATCTCCTGGATCCTAGGTTGACACTCAACCACTGAGCCACACCGGCCGGGTTCTTCATTGTTTAAAATGGAACAACTATTTGAGGCCTGGTAACTGGGTATCTGTGAACGTGGAAGGTGACTGAAGCCGTTTTGAAAGACCTCCTTTCCTTTCAAGGTTCAGGTTCTAACTTGAAACATTTGGGGTGTTGGAGAGAAGTGAAGCAGCTGTATCTTTCATCTTCCCAGAGTAGGGCAGGCACCACTGGAAGGAAGAGAAAGGAGGGGCAGTGAGTAGAGGGGAAGGTGGAGCTGGTCCACAGCCCGCCCTGGGTGGAGGGTCTGCCCTGGGCCCTGCCCCTGTGTAACCCTTTCCCCACCCTCAAGAGGATGAAGCCTGTTTTACTAGACAGGCTTCTGGGAATAACGATTTCTG